TTTTTGCATAAGAGACCCTATAGTAATGTGAAAACCAACCCGAGATCCAGAGCACTATTGATATGAGTCATCCAATTTGTAACAAGCACCCTAGAAATAATGATTCCTTACCCCGCGGTCCTTCTCTTCCTCCTCACAAATAGAGCTCGGACAGGGGAAGCACTCCGCTGGCCGATAGGGCGACTCGTCGGCGGCGGTGCTGTCGCGGGGCGGCGTGGGGAGGTGCGCGGCCATGACCGAGCTCGCCTGGACACAGCGCGGACCGAGGTAGAGCTCGGCACGGTGACCACACACGGCCACGCTAGGGGAGGCGGCGTGCCGGACCCGGCCGAGAAAGATGGCCGGCCACGGCGGGACGCGGACGAACCGACTGGCGAGGCGGGCCCCTCAGCACCGGCGAACAAGGCGCGCACCCGGTGGGGGCGGTGCCATGGAGGCGGAGCCCCATGGCGGCAGCAGCAGCAAGGCGGGCTAGGGCGAACGACGGCGGGCGTGACCACTGCGGTGGAGCGGCGCGGGTCCACGTAGCTCGGGCGCGCTTGTGCGCACAGCGGTAGGCGATGGGAGCGGTTCATGGAGCGGAGGAGGTGCTTGAGAGGGACGGCGCCGTGGAGTAGCAGGCCCAGCGTGGGCCATGGGGCGCGGCGCATGACCACGACGGTTGCTTGGCTCGGCAAAGGCAGATAGAACAAGCAAAGCAGGCAACAGAGACAAGCAAGGCAGGCAACAGAGGCAGAGACCGAGAGAGGGAGAGAGCACAGAGGCGTGAGGATAGCAGCTCAGTCATGCTGTGCACAAGGAGCACGAGAAGAGGGAGCAGCGGGGCGTGGACACGACAGAGCAACAGCACGGCAAGGACGGTGCTACAGGTGCTCCTTTGGAAACAACGTGCATAGACGGGACGACTCGAACTTGGCGGGACACGAAGGCAACCAGCTCCTCCATGGTTAGGTGGGTCGTGCGGTGGGTGGAGCACCACGTCGGCCAGACGGCTGGTAGGCAGTGCATGCGGCGACCGCAGGCCGAGCCATTCGACGGTGAGTAGTGAGCGCTGAAATTTAAAAGCTAAGCAAGTATTGCGATTGATCGCGATTGAGGCCCAAGCAAGTCCTCCAATCTGTAGTCCACACTACCGTCTATCAAACAATAGAACCAAAACATCAGGGCGTTATTTAACTATTTTTGCATTTTATAAATCGCCAAAAAGTGTACTTTCAACACAGCTTCAAATTTTTGCCGATTCAATGAAAAGGGCTAATTTTAATTTTCAATTTGATTTTTGAGCTATCAAAAATACCACGGAACAACATCCATTCACCAAATCAACAGTTGCATTTTTAACTACTAACTCGCACTTCAAATTTTTATTTAAGTTTTAATTACAAGTTATATATTTTTTGTTTATAAAAATTGTTTTCATGCTCAATCCAACAGAACAAGCCATTCGCAATTTATTCGCTATTAGACATTTTAAGCGCTTTCTTCATACTTTTCCAAAACAAGCCCTAAACAACTTTTGTCCACAAGATTATTTAAAAGTTGCTAAGCACCGAGACAAGTTGACTAGCGACACTTTTTTTACGAAAGCGAGTCACACAAGATTCATTTATAATTCTACGTGTGCTTCAAACTTTTAAACCCAAAAATTTGTTTTACTAATTACTCTTAAGCATTAACCTAGGTAATAAGCAAGCTTGTAACACCAGAGGTGTTACAACGGCTCTCTTTAACATGTCGCATCGGATGCGCTGTTAGAAAATGACCGACACTGAGCCGCAGCGTCCGATCGAGTCCAGTAAGCTCCCAGGGCCGACCGGACGCTCCCAGCGTTCGATCAATTATAGCGCTGAAACCCGAGACTGCTGAGTCATACCGGACACATCCGGTATGGAGACCGGACGCGTCCGGTCGCTGCGTTCAGTCGCAGCGCCGGTCGCGGTTTTGCGATCCTGCCTCGGGCTATGTCTCTTTGATCGGACGCTAAATAGTAACTCCTCAGCGTCTGGTCACTCCTCTGAGCTAGAGTCCGATCACTTTCACTTAGTCGCTCACCTCGGGTCCAAACATCGGACGCGTCCGGTAGCCACAACGGACGCGTCCGGTCACTCCTATCAGACTACCCGAAGTCTGGATAACATACCGGACACGTCCGGTCACTCTGTGACCAGCGCGACTAACTCATTTTCTTCACCAACTTCTTCTCCTTTGGAAATGTGCCAACACCACTAGGTGTACACCACCATGTGTATGTGTGTTAGCTTTTCACAAATATTTTCCAAAGGATTAGCCACTCAACTTGCCACGCCACTCGATCATAGCGACGATGCAAAGTTAGATCACTTAAGTGGCACTAGATGACCGATATGCAAACAAGTTTGCCCCTCTTGATAGTACGACCATCTATCCTAAACCCGGTCATCAATTTCTCTACACACCTATGACCGATGAAATGAAATGCCCTAGGTTATACCTTTGCCTTGCGCATTTCATTCCATCTCCTCCAATGTCGATGCAACACATGCACCAACACGATCAATAATGATATGATCCACTACATATCATCACGTGATCATATTGGTTTTTCAATCTTGACTTCACTTGCTTTTCACCGTTGCCTTCGTCCATCGGCGCCAAGTCTTGCTCAAGCTTGACCACCACGCGGTCCATCGCTCCAAAGCCTCCAACTTGCCCTTCATGCTTGCAACCGGTCCATCAAGCCAAGTCTTGTCTTGATCTTCTCCACCTTGATCACATAACTCAATGTCATGTCTCATGTGCAATGAGCTCCTTCATCATCACATGTGTGAGCTTTGCAACATCTCCAAGCCATTTTCACCTTCATGGCATATGTTGCTCACACACATGTACCTGTGGACTAATTACCAGCGTATCTCACATAAACACAATTAATCCACCTAGGTTGTCACTCAATCACCAAAACCACACAAGGACCTTTCAGAGAATCAAACACAACAAGCACAAGAGCCCCTTGCAATCATCTATTTATAGAGCTCTCCAAAAACTAGCATTTGGGCTGGCTAGAAACATCTTCTGCGTACACTACTACATGATTGATTTTGCGTAGCATTGCACTTTAATTAACGGAGGCGGTCACAAAATCTAACCACCTCAGAAAATACCAAACTATTAACGGAGACGGACATTTTGATTTACGGAGGCAGTCACTTTTGCTCTCCTCGTAAAGTAAATTTACGGAGACGGACATTTTAAGACAACCGCCTTCAAAAGTAGTCTATTTTCGGAGACGGTCGTCTTAAGGAGCCCTCATCTGTAAATCTATTTTTGGATGCAGGCACTCTATAAGGCCCGCCTCAAAAAATAGTGCCCCAGCTCCTAGCCCCAAAAAGCCCATCTCTGCCTTTCTACCAGGCTCATATATAAGCAGCACCTGTTAACCCTAGCCTCACATCGCCCCTCCCCTCCCAACGCCCTTCCTCCCCTCCCAACCAGACTGAGCGCGGCGCCCCTCCCCTCCGAACATGAGTGCGGCACCCTTTCCCTCCCGACACGAGCGTGGAGCCCCTCTCCCTCACAGCGACCCGGCCTCCCTCTCCTCTCCCTCACAACGCAGCACCCCTCCCTCTCCTCTCCCTCTCTCTCCTCCCTTCGGCGGCTCCCTAGATCTGGCGGCAGGGCGGCTCGATCCGGCCCTCCCGATGGCGGCCGCATGCGGGGCCCCTCCTAGGTGGGCGAGCGAGGGGCATGGCGGACGGGGCCTCCTCCCCCGCCCGGTGGCTCCCCAGATCCGGTCCCAGCAGCGGGTGGCTCGATCCGGTCCTCCTGGCGGCGGCTTGTGCATGGGCCCCTCCCAGGCCGATGAGCGAGGGGCGCGGCGGACGGGGCCTCCCTAGATCCGGTCCCGACGGCGGCTGGCTCGATCTGGCGGCGGGAGGCCAGACCCCGGCGGTGTGCGTAGTCAAGGTTCCGCCGAGCGACTACGGCGACGGCGGCCCGTGGATGGGCTCGGCGGTTCCTTCCCATAGGTTTTTTTTATTTTTTCCTGTCTGATTTACGGAGGCGGGCACAGCAGCCGCTTCCGTTGGTCACCATTCACGGTGACCTTTGATTGGAGGCGGTTGCAATGCCCGCCTCCATTAATCTAAATTGTCCGCCTCTATTAAGCTTTATGTAGTAGTGGTATGCACCACACATATCAACGGTTCAGATTAAATCTAAAATTTAAACATCCAAGCGCATTCTCCTATGCTCAATGACACCACCGGAGAAATCTGGTCCCTGCGCACTCGCTTGGCCAAGTCAAACTAGCGGTTGAGAAATCCAATGGATTTATTCATATCTCCGGTGTTATAAATTTTGAATCTTCATATATGTATGAGGACTAGTATAGCTACAACAATACATGATTCTCTTTTCAAAATTGCCACAATGCAAGTTCGGGCACACGAGGTGGTGTCGGATGCCATAGCATGGAATTATCACCGGATGAGATTATGGGCCAAATCCGCGTATCAGGCCCAATTCCAGGGTTGCCCTTCGAGGGAGCCGCCCAAGTCACCCAACGCGGCAAGTTAGGATTCTCAACCATGGTAGAAAAATTTGATATATATGACCAAGATACTTGGAAACCACCCTTATGTTCTGGTTGAGCAATAAACACTGCCCTTGCCCTGACAGTTATTCTATATTCCACATTTTCACTATATCTGCGACACCTGCATGCAGCCTAGCTTATATAACATATATATAATTACTAGAGCATTAGTAATGTTGATTTCAAAAAAAAAGGAGCATCAGTAATGTTCAGGACCTCATGCAGTTTTACTTCATCATCAGAAGCTGTTGCCAAATGAGATTTTCAGTAGTATCTTAAGCCTGTCGACCTGAGGATCGATCATCAAACTCACAGAGCATACGACATAGCAGGTTTAATAAAGATTACCTAATCGAAGACAGATATAGTTCTATTAATTTACGTGTACTGTGACGGAGGACGGGAGGAGCGGCTATAGATTAGAAGCTCACATCCTCTGGTCACCGACGGAGACCTCCTGAACCACGATGGGCGACCCCTGCGGGATCCCCAAGAATCCAGGGGCCGCGGGCGTCGTGGGCGCATGCAGGGGCTGGGCCGGTTGATGCCGCGGCTTCTCCAGCAGCGGGATGCGACCATCTACGAAGTTGTCGGCCACGCCAGCCGTGACGAGGGCCGCGCCAACCGCGCCCCGGCGCACACCGAGGGCCGCCCAGGAGACGGCGCCGGCGGCGAGCGCGTTCCAGAGGTCCTCCTTGGGGCGCGCGAGGTCCATGGCGGTCTCCAAGGCACAGCACAGGGCGAAGTAGGCGGCCAGCGTGCCGGCCGCGCGCGGCGCGCTCGCGCTGACGGCCCGGGCCCCGCCGGCGAGGCCGCCGACGCGGCGGAGGCCCCTGAACAGGCTGAGGATGGAGCTGCCCGCCAAGCCCGACGCGAACCCCATGCCCAGCTCGTTGACGAAGCGATGGCCGGGGTCTGGGATCGGAGGGTAGAAGGGCTGCTCCTCGCTCATCGCGCACTGGCGGCTCTCTGGCAGCGGCGGTGCAGCTTGCTTGTTTAGCAGGATGATCTCGATCGGAACGGAAGTGGTGATTCTCTATGCGGTTTCGCTTGGACGTCTCTCTACTGTTCTGCAGCTGGCCTTACTTCGGAGACTAGTGATTTATTATAATATTATGATAAATATCACCGTGAGTTATAGTAACATGAGTATCGTAAATGCATATTCATATTATCGTAAATTGATATAAACATTATCGTAAATCAAAGTGGCTATAGAATAAGTTATTCTATGGCCAGCTGCAGAATAGTCTTACCCTAGGAGAGTATATTTAGTAGATAGCTATAAAAATAAGTTATTATGTAACCACTTTCATTTACGATAATTTTATATACTAATTTACGATAATGTCAATACATATTTACGATAGTTGGGTTACTATATCACATGGAGATATTTATCATAACGTTATAGTAAACCACTTAGTAAGAAGCTACTATAATCTCATAAATTAATATAGTAATTATCGTAACTTAAAGTGGCTATAGAATAAGTTATTTTGTACCCAATATATATATATATATATATATATAGGCTATATTTTACAGAAATGGCCATAGAATAACTTATTCTATAGCCACCTTGATTTACGATAATAATGTTTGTACCAATTAATTTATAATATGAATAACTCCTTATTAAGTGATTTACTATAACATTATCGTAACTATCGATGTGATTTAGTAATAATGTTATAGTAAATGTATAAGGAGTTATCGTAGTCTCATAAATTAGCATAGTAACTATCGTAACTTAAAGTGACCATAGTAATAAGTTATTCTATATGGCCAGCTAGCAAAGATATATATATATATATATATATATATATATATATATATATATATATATATATATATATATATATATATATATATATATATATATAATAATATTAATATATACCGGCTGCGGTCGTGGGTGTTCGGAATTCACCTTGCCTCGACGAGCAATTCCTATCCGAACAGGTTTCCAAATGGTACCCGAATTAACAAATTATTATCCAGTCATGTTACGAAAACAGAAGGAAGAAAAAGTCAGATTTTTTGTTTTTGTTTTCAGATCTGAGATCAGTCGTTTAGAGTTGTATACTCGTCTGGAGACCTTCTGATCATCAACAGACACCAGGAATTGTATTCAGTTCACCCACCCTAAGCAAGTAAGAGTACTGCTCGGTTATGCCTCTGATCCCAAGTTCTAAACACACAAACACACATGTCTCGTTCGCTTGTCTTATAATCCATACTTTTCAGCTTACTTTTTTTAGCGGAATAGTAGTTTTTCTCTCAAACTTTTTTAGCCAGAATAGTGTTTTTCTCTAAAAAAAAAAAATAAACCGCAACAGTATTTCGACTTGTTTTTTCAACAGCGAACGGGGCCATACATAGCAGTTTTTGCCATCTCGAAGGCACGTGCTTACTATCGCACGGTTGCGCAAATTAACTTTCAGCTACCCGCTTTCGGGCGCATACTTGAACCCTCAAACTGCACACCAACACATGTGATTCATGAGAGATAGATGAAGGAAGTGCATGCTCTACAGGCTACACAGTACACACTCATCTAAGGGCATGGCCATTTCTACTTCTGGAGAGATACAGATACATTGGAAAAGCAGTAGAGCTAAAAATCAGTATAAATTAAATGGTGGTGACAACAGGGCAAAGTAAAACAATTTTTCAACATAGCAACTGGCCCTGGATCTCTCTCTCCCACTTCAAAACAGAACCACTTCATATACCAAAACATGGAATTGAAGTCTCACGGAGCTTTAATTTACACTCGACACAGTACAGTATACTACTATAAGCAAAAGCTCGTGAACTTATACTCAATTTAGAAGCCTATTAGCGAATTTTCAGATAAAACTGAGTCAAGGAACTCAAGGTAAGCTTTATTTTGCCCTATAATTCTACTGTTGCCAGGCCTTAGGAGTCATTTCAAACTTCTTACGCCCCTCCCTAGAAGTAGTAGGATAATCGGACCTACACAAGAGGAAAGCATGGAGTTCATTAGCATATATGATATTATTAGGACAACGGCATTGCATTTTTATATAAAATTATAGCATAACAAACCAAGAATACTGCAACAACAACAACAAAGCCTTTAACCAAGAATACTGCAGTGTACTAGAATGAATGAACAAGTACAGCAGTATATGCGGAGGATATAGCCCTTTCCTCTCACCATTTCTCAAAGAAAACTCAGTTCAGACAGGCGTCACACCTTTAAAATTACCTACACTTGAAAATTGCAACTTTGCTTTCCCAAAGGCAACCAACTGATTTACAGCAAAGCATAGGTAAGGACATTTGTAGCCATATTATCAATATATAAAGTGTTGTATGTATTTTCTTGGAAAACTGTTGAAAATATTAGTGATATTCAGAATTCAGATAATGAATTCTAGTTGGCAGACAAATATAAAGTACCACAGGACATGAAAACACAATAATGTGTGCATTTTGGAACATATTCATATCTATAGCAACAGTGCAGGAATGTATCATTAGTGCATCCAATTGAAAGAATGGAACTCTCATAGCTAAGGAAAAAAACAGACATACAAAAACCTAACAGAATGGGGGAATATCATCCCTGATCCAAGCAGTAGCAATCAAGAGAGCTGCAGAGTTCATGCCGGATTGCACTTGCACACACACACACACACACACACAAAATGCCAACATAATTGTTACAGAAAATATAAAACTTGAAGTGAACAGTAGTTCTAAAAATGAAGCCGGTTTGCAGCTTTCCTAAAAAAAAATCACTATTTGGAGCACCTGTTCACCTAAACAGCCATTTAGCTTTTTTTAAACACCGCTTAAACACTAAATGGTGCCCAGCCATGTCTGCTTAACCAGCCATTCTGCTGGTATAGCTAAACCATGGTCCATGGGACCAACTATTTAGTGCTTTGGTGGACTGGCAATTCTATAAGTGGCCAGGTCAGAGCAAGGAAGAGCGGAAGAGAAACCTTATTAAACTCATCTTGGAAGCAGATCAAGTCCCTGAAACTCCAGTAGATACTAAGATATTCAGATATTATCTGCACATCATGCTACTAATAATATCAACTGAACAAGGAGGGAATTTAGAAACAACAATACAACAATTGAAAATAGCATCATAGCACACTTTGAAACCCTCTGGAACATTGTATGCCTAAGAACAGTATACTTTTGAATGGGATTAATAATACTTACAAAAAAACAGAAAAGCTATAAAACAGCATCACTAGACCCAGTAGTCCAAGTCATATAAATGTCTGTTTCTGTCAGGTTATTAAAAAATGGTGTACCTATCATGCAACCCCTATTTTCTCTAATGGAACATATACTCCAACAACTTCCAGTTTTTTACTATTCGGCAATATAAGTACCTAAAACAGGAGCTCAACATCCATGCATCATGGAGCCAAATGTAAAACACTGGACGAATTCAATGCAGGTGCTTTCTCCACACAGAACTAACATAAAAATTCATACGTGTTTAAGTAATTCACATGCATATTAGAAAAAACTCTCTTCAGGCGAAAGTGCACAACATAAAGAAAGGTAATCTCACAAAAGGTAAAGCCATACTCTATATGCAAGCAAGTTTATACTTTAAATATGACTGAAATTGACAGTAAGTGGCAAAAGTTTGCCAGGCCTGTGAAGCTATAGAAGGTATATAGATCCTGTGTTGCCACTACTACTTTTTCCATTTCCCCTTTTTCGTAATCTCCTTCCTAGCATATATCCTCGGGCCAACCTTCTAGTGGGGTAAACCTTTGAAGTTCACAAATCATAATGGTCACAAAACCAATAACCATACTAGCGACATCAGTAGCAGAAACAGAGATACAAGGATGATTGGCTCATGCTAGTTGAACAATCTGCTAGACAATGACTAGGGTTCAGGATGATGCACAAAAACCATACCAATGGGGTTAATTGTTTAAGCAGCAGCATCAAACAGCGATGACCAGGGAAAGATAGAGCATGCCCCAATAAATAAAATGGAGTACAGTTATTATCACGTTGCAGGATTCCGCCTCTGCTTAGCATACATTAAAAGGGCGTACCCAGTGCAGAGAGCTCCCGCTCTATGCGGGGTCTGGGGAAGGGTGTTAGTGCCAGCAATGCGAGGAGACCGCGACTCGAACCCGGGACCTTCCGGTCATAGGCGGTAAGACTCTACCGCTTGCACCAGGCCCGCCCTTCTCTGCTTAACATACATTGTGCCAACAAATTAAATACAGAAGAGGAAACCCCACATCGTGTAGCAAAAAATTCCCTGCTAATATGCTGTGCACTACTGCACCGTATGCATCAACATGCCCTAGGCAACAACTGTATAGCATACACATACAGCACTGGAACAACAGTGGGCATACCAATTATGGTCCTGGATTAATTACAGCACAAACCACAAATCAGTTAATTGTATGATCTTGGTGTAAATTTTTTCAAGAATTGCAACAAAACTGCTACATGGGAAGGAGGAATCAAAACACTTTGCATATGCTTCACTCTGGATCGCCGTGTGGAGAAAATGTATGTGCTTAGCTACCATAAATTCATGACATTGAAGAAGTAACTCAAAAGTCAAAACTACCAGGTACTACATTTCCACAGAGTACATGCATAATAAGAACAATAATGGCCACATTCAACAAAATTAAATCAAATCAACAACAATTGAAGGAATCAGCAGCAAAGAAAATAGAACACACAAAAGCTAACCTTTTTTCACTTGTAGTCGAAGGAAGGAACGGCCGTCCTTGGCAAATCCATCTCCAACACCTCCGACTTGTTGCGGTCGCCAGCAGCAAGCGTGTCCTGCTGCTTCTTTCCGAACAAACCGCCAAACCACCTAGTCGGGCCGCCAGACTCAGTGACCGGAACCTCCTGAACATCGATCGGCGGCGCCGGCGGCACACCCAGGAAACCAGGTGGTGGTGCATACTGGCCGGGATCCTGTCCGGGATACTGCAGCAGGTCCTCCGGCGGCGGCGGCGGGACGACCCCAATGCGGTTGAGCATGATCCCGGCACCCTCGATGAGCGCGAGGAGGGCGCCGCCAAAGAGTGCGGACCTGCCGGAGGCGAGGAGTCCTTGTCGCACGGCGAGCAGGCCACCCGTGGCGGCGCCGGCGGCGATGGAGTTCCAGGGGTCCTCCTTGGCGCGGGCGTAGACGAGGGCGCAGTCGAAGGTGGAGAAGAGGCCGCCCCAGACGGCGAAGCTGCCGCCGAGGCGAGGCGCGAGCATGCGCGCGGACGTGGCGCCCCCGGCGAGGCGGTGGCCGTTGGGGGAGTTGTAGACGCCCTTGACGAAGTGGAAGAGGGAGCCGCCTACGGCGCCCATTCCGAAAGCGCCGCCGACGTCGTCGAGGATGCGGTCCGGGCAGGGCTCCCGCCCCGTCTCTGGCGTGGTCATCTCCTCGCCGAGGCGGCCTCCAGCGGCGGGGGAAACCCTAGGCGGGCTTGGACGGAGGGAATGGCAAGCCGGCGATGGGACGGCACGGGCGGCCGAGCGGGCGGCGCGGAGAGAGCCAAGTGAAGAGGGAACGGGAGTACGTGCCTACGTGGCGTCTAGTTGGGCTGGGCCCCACCATGTCCTTCTGGATTTTGCACGGGTGGGCTTTGGGTCAAGCACGGTTGACAAAAAAACGCAGAAATCCTCCGAAGTTCCTTCGGGATAGCGGATGTCCTATTTCAACCTACAGGAATTTGAGATAAAAAAATCATGTAGAGGCCGTTTGGATTGTTAGGAATTAATGTATTAGGTTATTTGGTTAGAAATTTTAAAATTCCACAATATTTCTAAGTTCATATGTAAGGATATCTCAAATTCATAGGTGGAGAGATTGATATTGATTATATGGATCACCATGCTATATTTCTACTCTCCCACTTATAGCATGGTCTTCAACTCATCTCCCTATGGTAGAAATGCAACATATAAGTATCTTTCTTGTATAGCTAATAATAATATACAAATATATTCTATATACAATCATATTAGCTTAATTAATTTATGCCTAAATTATAATTATTAGAATGAATTCAATTTCAAAGATCCAAACGGGGCTATAGGGATTTAAATAAGTTGTTAGGATCCTCTCAAAAGAAATAAATTGTTGGGGAACATTTCTTTGTTTGAAAGTCCCGTAAGAATTCTATTTACCATTTACTTTGTTACATTATTTTTTTGAAAGGCTATGACTCGATTTGTTATTTTAAATGTTTTTGGATCTGTTTGAAACACAGAAATTTCACATGATTCACACAGAAGTTTCACAAGAAAAAGTCTCATGTTCCAAACAGACCTAAGTGTATAAATAAACATTTCCTGTATTTTAAATTATAAGACGTTTTTGCTTTTTTTTAGATACATAGCTTTTTCTATGTATTTAGATATATATTGTACATAAGCTATAATGCTAAACTGTTCTTTTGTCTAAGTTAATGTTTGCGTGAATAGGCTGGAACGGGAGGAAAATATTCTTCCTAATCCTAAATCTGGGGACTAGCGTGGTTTCACCCTTAAAACTACTGTAGCACTAGTTTTTATAGGCGTCATCTATTTTTTTTCAAGAGCTTATTACTTAGCAAACCATTATTTTTAGGAATAGTTGACTTTAGAGAACTGCCCAAAAAAAATCAAATTTTAGGAACAATGGTCTTAATGATATTTTTTTATTTTAACACTTTTTGATAACTAATTTTAAATCTAACATGCTCGGTTTTTTTTAAACTAACACTTTTGGTCGCACCTATTGCCCTGGCGCGGCCAAATGCCTGTGACACGCCATGCATGGTGGCGCGGCAGCGGGCTGACGTGGCGACGACCGGATTTAGGGACCGTTGATGTGGCAGGTCCTGCCACGCCACCGACCCTTGACAGCGGCGATGTTGTCGCTACCGATTCGTGGCGCTGGTGGGCGAATAAATACTGTGTGCGACCCCCCGCACCGCACCCTGCGTTCTGCAAGACGCCGCCGCCGCTGTGCATTCTCCGCCACGCCATTACCGCCGCCGCGCGCTGGGCTCTCCGGGCGCGCCGCCATTTACGTCGCGCATCACGGACGCCCGCTCGTAAGGTACCTCCCTCTCGATTTCATTTTTTATTATTATTATTGATTTAGGATAATTAGTGATTTAGGATAGTTATGGTTTTATGATTGTTATTGATTTATGATAATTAGTGATTTAGGATAGTTAGTGATTTATGATAGTTCGGTTAGTGAATTTGTTTATGATTTACGTAGGTAGTTTTTAGGTTTGAGGTTGTGTGTTCTAGTATAGTTAGGATTTTGGGTTTTTGGATTGATTATGTATTTATTATTTAGTTTATAGTTAGTTATTTGGTTAGGGATTTTGGATATAGATACTAGTTTACTCTAAATCCAAAAGGGTTTAGGGATTTTAGGGATTGATTATGTATTTATTATCTAGTATAGTGAGGATTTTGGGTTTAGGGATTTAGGATAGTTATGTTAGTGAATTTGTTTGTGATTTATTTGTGAACTTACTAATATAATTTGAATTTTGTTAATTTGACTACTCTAACGCTTTGTTTATTAATCTGTAACTGGATGACCCCTCCCACGCAGCACCCGTTGTACCCTATTTTGAGGTGGAGTACGATGATCAGCACCGAGCACACGTCTTGAGTGACAACGACGCAGAGGTGGCCTTGCCTCCTTTGAGGCCCCGCACGCACACCAGGGGCGCCCCAGTGGGACGAGCGTTATGCGTCGTGTACATACGGCGTGCCGGCTTCCTCAAGCTTGTCCGTGTTGTCAACCACGGTCTTTCGCCCCTTGACCCAGCACTACTTATTGCAGCTATAGACAGGTGTGAGTGCATTCTTTGTATGTAAACTTTCTTGTAACAAATTTGAGGCAACTAACAGTCGTTCTATTCTTATAACGGGTGGAGGCCTAAGACCCATACGTTCCACCTACCTTGTGGCGAGATGACCTTGATGTTGCAGGACGTGAATGCTATTTTAGGCCTTTGGTTGGGGGGACTTCTAGTGACTGGGATAGTTGACAACGATCATTGGAGGGAGCTGGTGGTTCAGTTTATTGGCTTTCTTCCACTGGACAACGAGGCTTCCAAAAAAATAAGTGAGTAATTCAAGCCTATTTAATACTTGCATTGCTTTCCTGTAGCCATAAGGTCTCATTTTCTTTGGTCAATTTCAGAAAAAATTCCGGTGTTTCGTCGTCCTGGATCACAGAGCGCTATGATTACTTGGACCCACAGGCTGAGGAGGCTCTGATCGATAGGTTCGCTCAAGTGTGGCTCTAGCACTTTTCTTAGTGCTTTCCTCTTCCCAGATGCCTCGGGCAACACCATGAGCTGGATCTTCCTTGACATACTATGCCAGCCATGAGAGAACATAGCGGCGTATAGCTAAGGTAGTGCAGTTCTGGCATGGATGCATCAACAGCTATGCGTTGCTTGCCATCGCACCTCAGGACATACGAACCTTAGGGGTTGCTCCTACCTACTCTAGGTTTGGTGTTGGAAATGATAGCCCGTTGGGAGGTCCCTTAATAATGGTTTACCGGTAAGTACTTCGGTTCGCTATATTCTTCGAGACAGTTACATATGATGAGATTATTAATGGCTAATTCATTATCGTGTTCAATGCAGCGATGGAACGGGCAGGATACACTCCCTACAGCTCTGTATATCTGGACGGAAGCAGAGTTAGTTAGAGGGAATGCATGGCGCAAGTACAGGGAGTACACGGACGATCTCGATGTCCTGACACAGCACCAGGTTACGCTCTCTTTACTATCATACCTGTGTCTTCTTCGATGTATACTATATCACAACCTAACTCAATTACGAAATTTCAGGTGCATTGGTGTGCTTGGGATTCTCCGGAGCTCTAGGACTATCTCAGTCCTGTCACTAGGGATAAGTCAAACGAGTATCGCTGCGACGTCCCTCTTATTTTTTTCCATGTGGTCGAAATTCACTTGCCCATCCAGATCTACAGACAGTTTGAAAGAATGACAGGCTGCCCACCACCGCTTTACTCCACCAACCAACAATTGCACGGGTGCGTTATCGATTAATAACAATGCTACAATTCAGAGGTGTGTGATACAACTAACATCGTTTTGTTGCAGGTATAACCGTAGGAAGAGGTACAAGACCAAGGATTGGCGCGTGACACATAGTGCGCACATCCATTTGTGGCAAAATAGGGTATGACTTCCGGTCCATGCAGGTCCTCCACACGACCAGCACACCTTCGACGAGTACCTACGGTGGCTTCACCGGTCTACGAGGACACATATCAAGCCCCTGTACACTGAGGAGGCAATTGATGAGGACTCGAGAGGAAGATGTCATCGAAGATGTGTACAACGTTACCACTAGGGAGGACACACAGATACAGAGAGCACCGCTTCAAAGATACATGGTAATATACTTGAATGGTACAATTTGTTATCCTTTTGGTATTAAGTATGTGTACTAAAACTGTCCAACCGCGTTTCTGTACCCAGACGACACAATTGTCAAGGCTGTCCAACGAAGCAGCGTTCCGGCTTTACGAGTCTAGAGAGCAGGGGCCAGGTGTTCTCGTGGCTTTTGTGGAGATAAACATAAACTTGTCCGTTTCAAAAATGTTTCTTTAGTGTATATGCGTTTAGGTAATGCACTAACTTTAACGTCTATTTATGCAGAAGGTGAAGAAGAGCTACAGGAAGCTAGCTCAGAAGCTGAGCTGCATGGACACTCCTTATGAGGAACCGCCACTCCCGGCGTGGTCGGGTGGCACGTCTTCAGCCTCTTTGAGGACACCAGCCGGCTCTTCTCAGCCGATGATATGTGCCACTTCTGCGGTGCGTACACCACCACATCATAGCGCTGGGAAGGACCTTGCAACCGAGGATGACGAGGACAACAATGACGACGACGATGACCCCCCGGGCTTCCATAGACAGCACGACCAGTGGGACGATTGGCCGCAGGACGAGATCGGCATGTTTCAGCTAGGTGGTTCCCGCTTGGTACCCAAGGAGCCTCACAGGTACTATCAAAGATAGTTTCTTTAAATACGTAGGCTCCATGAACTAACGATCATAAAGAATTATAAGTAATCATGCGTATCATATACTTGCAGGGTACGAGCCGTACACACCGTCGACGCGACCATACCGATGTTGGCTACACTCCCAATGTGTTGCCAACAAATCCGAAGAGACAGAGGCGTCTGAGGGATCCTTACACTCCTGGGTCTTAGTTTGTTAGGTCAAGCGAATATTGACGTTCGAAACTTGCGGGGTTATTTGGTTATGTTATGTCAAACTTATGTCAAAACAATGAAAATGTTATGTGGCAGCTTGTCAACTTGCGCACGGACTTCATTTATTTGCTTCATATTCATTTCTTTGCGTCGCGGCAACACTCCCGGCGAGATTAAGTACCAACTAGTTCGGGAACCGGCAGTCCCGACGAATCTCGACGCCGGTGGTAATTTTTCATAATCTATTAGTTAAAACGGTGGTTAACCGTATTATGAAAGACGGAAAACAAATCATTGGCTTATCAAATTCTCTATTCGGTCGTGAAAAAAATTCAACAAAAAACAGAAACAAAAATACTATTGATTTTACGTCAAGCAATATTTAGAATAACTCCCATTATCGGCAGCGACACATTCCGATTAAACCATCCAGGTACGAACGGGCGGGCGGTGGGCGCGGCGGCCGGGCTTGCTGCTCGGTCAGGCGGGACTGGCCGCGGTATTTATTCGGCCCAGCCGCGCCACGGATCAGGGCACGGCACTGCCGCGCCAAGGTCGGTGGCGCGGCAGGACCTGCCACGTCAATGGTCCCCGAATCCGGTCATCACCACGTCAGCCCACTACCGCACCACCATGCATGGCGCGGTACAGGCATTTGGCCGCGCCAAGGCAATAGACGCGGCCAAAAGTGTTAGTTAAAAAAAAACCGACCGTGTTAGATTTAAAATTAGTTATCAAAAAGTGTTAAAATTAAAAAAAAATCATCTTAATAGAAGTATTCATGAAAATGACTTATCTTAAACCGGTTTTGAGAACAGACTCTAAAAATCATTTTGACCGTGTAAATATCGTTTGTGTGGTTGTGTAAGAAAAACCCATCAAACATACTTACACATTATAAGGGGACGTACAACTTATTAGAGCATATTCAAGAGTCTTTCTAAAATTTACTTTTTAAATCATCATTTTGAGAGTCATTTGAGTAAAAATCGCTTTCTATATCTTTAAACGCTCCAACCGTTTTTCTAAAGAGCCATTCAATTTTTGGATAGCGAGAAATCCAAAACTGAGAATGCCTACATTTGGAGATACAATTAAAGAGGCAGTTGGAGTGTCTTAGAGTTGCTCTGTACTTGATCACATAGTGCTAATGATAATAAGTTAGCTATCTTTGTTGTAAAGTAATTGGATTGGTCCAATCTTATTCAACCAAATAAAATAAATTCTAATGACCAAATAAATAATAGGTGTAATAAAAGATTAATCTCAGAAAAAATGACTAGAGATTGCTTTAATTTAATAAATGGGTGGCTATCGTGTATACCTGTTGGAATACAAGCCATATTGCCAATGCGCACGTTGCTGACATAGTGACATTCACTTTTATTTAACAAACACATTGCTGACACAAGCACACCATACATGCACAACACCACACACAAGAACATGCTTTTGCACATAAGAACTGATGGAAAACTGAGCCGGTAAATCTTAATTACAATTGACAGTCTCACGACACTTATTTATTGATGATAGATGTGTCACACACCACTAAGGAAATAGCCAAATCATTGAGATAGAGGTGTGGGCAGGACGTAGTCACCTCTCTAATCACCAAATCAATGTTTATTTCTCAGTGGTGCCTATTTGGATGGCAAGCTAGCATTGACAAAACAAACATATTGGGTCAACCTATTAGCATATCTTCAGTGGTGCCTCATGCATGTCTCAAGACAAACGTTTGGCATCTTGTGTTATATATTAGCTCATATAGATAGATAATAAATGACTTTTGTTGTAGAATACATGACAACTCGTGATTAAAGAAATTGTGAATCAGAGAAAGAGAGAGACGGACGCAGAATCTGTTAGTATGCTAATAACAATATGTGGTGCACACATCAAAAGTTCAAACACACACCAGGAAGACATTGTCAGTTTGTCACATAGATCACGACAGGCACTACGGGATATAGTCGTTTCGCCGAGTGCCAGGGGCACTCGACAATGGCCCAAAAACACTCGGCAACTGCTTTGCCGAGTGTAACACTCGACATACAACACATGACATTTTTTTGTCGGACACTCGGCAAAGGCGAGTGCAAAGCCTTTGTCGAGTGCCGGAAAGCACCCGACAAAGATTTACACTCGGCAAAATGAAAATGCGAAAAACCCAAAATTAATAGCAAAATTTTTCAAAATTTTTATTTTCGGGGGAGGCCGCCACCAGCCAGCGCTAAATTCGAAGTTGGTGCATTTTTTGCGCTAAATTCGCGGCTAACGCGGCCGGCAGGATTTGAACTCTCCCTCGCGTGTTTGCTGCTCTACCACTGCACTACACTGTCACTTGTGTCTAGATTTCGTTATCTATCATCGTATATTATACCAAATCGAGAATAAATTGCTTGTTTGAGGCCCTAAACAAATTTAAATCAAAAAATGGTCAACTACAAAGTTTCATAACTTTTCGAGATCTATAATTTTCATTTAGGAAGTTTTTTCATCCGAGGTCGTTTGAAAAATTTGAATTTCAAATTTGAGAGATTCAAACGTAGTTTTGCATGATAAGATGATTTCAAATCAAAAAGTTGTCAACTACATAGTTTCATAACTTTTGGAGATCTACAATTTTTATTTAGGAAGTTTTTCCATCCAAGGTCTTTTGACAAATTCAAATTTTAAAATTTTCAAATTCAAACGTCGTTTTTGCATGACAAGATGATTTCAAATCAAAATGTTGCCAACTATAAAATTTCATAACTTCTCAAGATCTACAAAGTTTATTTTGGTCATTTGTTTATCCGATATAGTGGTAGTAACATTGTTCACAAATCTTATATATCTCTCTTCTACTTTCATGATACTAATATGAGAGATGAGATATGTAGATTTTATGAACAACGTTATTGTCGCTTTGTCAAATGAAAAAATGATCAAAATAAACTTTGTAGATCTTGAGAAGTTATACAACTTTGTAGTTGAAAAGTTTTTCATTTGAATTCATTTAGGGCCTCAAAAATTGCTTTGAAAAACTGATTTGCCGAGGAAAAAAATGCACACGGTAAAATATCTCTTTGCCGAGTGCCAAAACAAAGGCACTCGGCAAAATATATCTTTGCCGAGTGCCAAAAAAAAGGCACTCGGCAAAGAGGCATTTTGCCGTGTGCCGAAAAATAGCACTTGGCAAAATACATGGCACTCGGCAAAGACGCATTTTGTTGAGTGTTTTTTTTTTGCCGAGTGTATTTTATTTGGCACTCGGCAAAGACCGTATTTGTCGAGTGCCCGATAAAATACACTCGGCAAAGCCTCCAACACTCGGCAAAGTGCTGGTTTCCGGTAGCGAGGATGAGAAGGTACTCGAGCAATTGCAGGAAAAACAACATATATGCTCTTCGCGTGACACCATCAAAGTTCATAAGTGAGCCACACACGTAGCAGGTTCATGTAACGACTTCCAATTTGAAACGGAGGAAGAGTTTCTCGATAAGAGCAAAAGGAGGTCGCTACTGTGAAACTGATCCCACGAAACCTCAACTGAGTGATGACACGCCACTTTCCACATAACACAAGATCGACAAGAGCCCGCAAACAGCATTCAGAAACAAAAAATGAAATGAAATCTAGTATGGTATAGTCTGCAAGAAAATTTCTGACAAAAGACCTTACATTTTTTGCCTACTTCATAATTATTAATCGAAGGAGGGAACAGCGGTGCTGGGCAAATCCAACTCCAGCTCCTCGCACCAGCGATCACCACTAGCAACCTTGTCCTGCTGCTTCCTCCCAAACAAACCGCCAAACCACCCAGCATGGCCAGAGTCAGGGACGACCGGGACCTCCTCAACCACGATCGGCGCCGCCGGCGGCACTCCGAGGAAGCCAGGCGGCACGTACTGGGCAGCAGGATCCTGTCCTGCTGGGTACTGCTGCTGCATCATCAGGTCCTCCGGCGGAGGCGCGGTATTAGCCATGCAGCGGTTGAGCATGATCCCGGCGCCCTCGATGAGCGCGAGGATCGCGCCCCCGAACACGGCGCCCCTTCCGGTGGCTAGGATGCCCCTGCGCAGCTGGAGGAGGCCCCCGGTGGCGGCGCCGGCGACGATGGAGTTCCAGGGGTCCTCCTTCTTGCGCGCGTAGACCATGGTGCAGTCGAAGGTGGAGAAGAGAGCGCCCCAGACGGCGAAGTTGCCCCCGATGCGCGGCGCGTTCATGCGGACGGCCGTGGCGCCGCCCGCGAGGCGGTGGCCGTTGGGGGAGTTGCGCAGGCCCTTGACGAAGTGGAAGAGGGAGCCGCCCACGGTTCCCATCCCGAAGGCGTTGCCGACGTCCTCGAGGATGCGGTCCGGGCACGGCTGCCGATCCAAATCCGGCGAGCTCGTCATCTCGCGAACCTCCTCCCCTGGGTGGCTGGGACGGTCTGTGGCGGCGGCCGAAACCCTTGGCTAGCTTGGAAGACACGTTGGTTGGGAGTTGCGAGTTGGGAGGCGGAGGGGGCGAAGCACAGGGATGCCAGCGTTTTGTATCGATCCAATCCAAAGTTCCAAACTCCGGGTCCGGGGTCGTCGGTGCTGTGTTGGGCCATGCCCACAAGTAGGGTATAATCGGATCGGGGATACGGGCCGATATTTGCTCATATCTTTTCTTCTTTGGATTGGGAATCAGACACGGATAGTCATTGGATACATATTCAAATATGTATTGTCCCGGTTATGAATACGGATAAATATATATGCGTTGAATATGGAATGAATATAGAAAGAACCAGAGGCTAAACTTCTTAGGAAATTTAGGCCTATCATATCAGTTTACTGAATTGTAGTTTTAAGATCTTTGGCAAAGCAATAAATAATAGGCTCATTAGAGTTGCTGATAGATTGATTTCCAAAAAGCAGACAACCTTCATAAAGGGTAGGTTCATTCTTGAGAGCGTGGTTGCTGCTCATGAAATCCTGCATAATATTAATAAAAATTAGGAGAGTGGGGCTGTTTTGAAACTGGACTATGAAAAGTAAGCTGGTCTTTCTTAGAAGATATGCTCCTTTCTAGGGGTTTCGCAGAAACTTGGGTTAACTGGGCCATGAAAATAGTTAAGGGTGGCTCTCTTTGTGTGAGAATAAATGATGAAAATAGTACCTACTTCAAACCTGGAAAAGGACTTAGGCAGGGAGACCCTTTATCTCCCTTGCTGTTTAATCTTGTGGCAGATATTTTCACTAGAATGCTTATGAAAGCTGCTGCAAATAATCTTATTTCTGGTCTTTTGCCACAAGTGATAGAGGGCGGGGTGATCAGTCTGCAATATGCAGATGACACCTTACTTTTCTTGGAGGGTGATTTAGAGAAAGCAAACAATCTAAAATGGCTTCTTTTGTGCTATGAACAAATGACTAGTATGAGAATTAATTTTGATAAAAGTGATCTACTGACAATTGGTATTGAAGAGACTAGGATTAATGAATACTCAAAGATTTTCTGCTGTAAGAAAAGGGAGTTCCCAATCAAGTATTTAGGAGTGCCTTTGCATTTTACAAATATGAGAAAAGAAGATTTACAGCCTATCATTGACAAAATTATTAAAAGGATAGCTGATTGGAAGGGGAGATTACTCTCCTATGCTGGTAGATTAACCTTGCTGAAAGCCTTTCTTGCTAGTGTCCCAATTTATCTCATGTCTGTAATAAAGTTTCCTAAATGGGCAATTACCATGATTAATTCACAGATGTCACATTTCTTGTGGAATAATAATGAGGAGAGTCACAAATACCACCTTGCCAATTGGCAGTTGGTGGCTCAAAAGAAAGAAGTGGGGGGCTTTGGTACCCCAGATATGAGAAATCTGAATCTTTCTTTACTCAGTTCTTGGATTTTTAGATATGGCCTCCAATCCGAATCTATTTGGGTTAAGATGGTAGACTACAAGTACAATACCAACAATCCAAACTTCATGTGCAGTAATAACACTGCAGCTTCACCTTTTTGGAAAGGGGTTATGTGGGCTTTACAAGCAGCTAGAATGGGGATTAAATGGTTAGTAGGTAATTGAAGAAGAGTTAGGTTTTGGTAGGACCATTGGTTTGGTAATTCAAGCCTAGCTATACAATTTTGGTCTTTGTATGTCATTAATGACCAGCAAGGCAAGACTATAGATCAGGTCTGGGTTGGTCAAGTCTTAAGACTGACTTTTAGACGTACTATGTCTGAGAATTTAATGAATATGTGTGGTATGATCTCTTAAGTATAGTGGACAATTTAGTTCTACAAGAAGAAAACGACCAGATCATTTGGAGCTTTAGCTCCAATGGTAGATTCTCTGCCCAATCTGTTTATGCTGTTATAAACCACAGGGGTGTTGTCCCATTATATGTTTCAGCTGTGTGGAAGTTAAAAGTGTCACCGAGGTTGCAAATTTTTCTTTAGTTATTGGCTAAAAACAAGATTCTTATCAGAGACAATTTATCAAAAAGAAGGGAAGTTTTGATAAAACTTGCCTATTCTGTAACGAGCTATCTGTTTTTTGACTATTGTGTAGCTAAAAGAACTTGGCTAGTGATAGCTGAGATTTTGAATTTGAGAAGTGACTGGAATTTTGAACTCCTAGCTACCTTTTGGATAGCAAATAAGAAACATGCTTTCACGAACATTTTGAGCTCTGCTGTTATCTGGTGCCTTTGGCGAGCGCGCCGTTACGCTATGCTGAATGTTTTGAATTGCTTTATGCTAATAAAGCAGGGGAAACATTTCATCTAAAAAAAAGTGGACGACATTGAATACGAATATTTCTTCGGATATATATATATGAGTAAAAGCAACATCCATAGCAAGACACGTGTTATGTTATAATCAATGGAAGCCTCTACAAGTCTAAATTCTAGCTAAATATTGCTTAAAAGAAGCAAAATAGTATATAGCTGATATACCAACTACCTAGTCTCTTTCGCGTAGAATGCCCAAACCATTATCTTTTGGGAACTTTCTTACACAACTCTCTAACCAACCAATTATTACACACATAAATTGGTAAGGTAGCTAGATAGTTAGTATCTTGGCACTATATAGACTCACTTTTCATATATGGAAGTTGTTGAGATGAGATGCTTGATGCTCCTAATCACTTTCATTTTCAAAAATTTATTGGGAAAAGTCCAAATTACTACCCTTAAGAATGGCTTATGTCTAGATAACCCCATAAGCTATCGTTTGGTTCGGTTTACTCCTCTCAATTATTCTAGTTGGTTCAATTTACCCCCTCAACAAGATTTGTCTTTTTTGTTTCTCCACATTCAAGCTGGTTTTTAATTTCAAATTCTGGGAGGGGATAGCTAGCACCATAGTTTATGTTTAAAAACTATATTGATAGGTTAGGACATATAATAAAAAATTAACATAAGAAATACACAAAACTGTATAAAAAATAATTATATAAATTTTATAATATATTTTTAAAAATAATTTACAATCCACTATCACCTCGCAAATTTTGAAAGTAAAATTAGAATTATACATAGACAAATAAAAAAATACAAATCTTGTTATGGGATAAATTGAACCAACTAAAATAGTTAAGGGGAGTAAACCAAACCAGACATTAGTTTAGGGCGTTATCTGGACAAAAGAAATACTTTGAGGTAGCAATTTAGAATTTTTTCTTTTTTCCTTCTAGGGAATATTATATTTTTATTCTCATAATATACTTGAGAAAATAAAAGTAGATAACTATACAAAGGGAAAAAATACAAAAGAAAATAAAAATATTTACATCGAGGTTGCAAAAAATGTTTCGCTTGGCATATACGAGAGGTGAATACATCTTCTATGCATTAGAAATTGATAATGGTACTTTAGGCTAGACAATAATTAATAATGACACAGAGAATATATCTATAGCAACACAAAGAAAATAGGATGACAATAAAAAGAGAAAGAAAGAAGTGTTGCTCCCGCCATGGGCCTTCCTGGCCAATAGAGCCTTTGTTTAGTGGGCAGAACTGCCAAAATGCCATGTGGGTTTAACTCCCTGGGAGGCCGGAATTGGGCTTGAATCCCTGTCGTTCCCCATTTTTATATACAAATGAAGCCTCAAGACGTTTCTCAAAAAAAAAAAATGAAGCCTCAATACTAGTTTGGTTTGGTATAAATTAGCTAGAGTGGGATTGAAGGAGATTGGAAGAGATTGAGATTAAATTAAATCTTATAAAGTCGAAATCTCTCACATCTTCTCCAATCCCTTTGTGGAAGGCACCCTCTATTCCCTACGAAACTGAAACAAAGCTTTCAGAGGGATGATTCAACCTCTCCACTCTCTAGCCAAACACTAGCAAATCTAGGATAGGACTGTTCCATCCCATGCCAATCCTCCAGCTAAACGGCTTGTATTTTTTCTTTTTTACTAAATATATGCCCGTGCGTTGCACCGGGACCATGATTTTTTGGACTGAAAGTAATCGGATGCAGACATGTGAGTTCTGAGAATTTTGTATCGGACGCGAATACATGAATCCGGTCTTCATATTGGAAGCCGGTAGGACGCGGACGCGGACGCGTGATCTTCAAGCAGAGGATGATTCGTATAAGACGCATATACGTGAGTAGGATTAAGTTTGGTATCACCGGTTGAGTCTTTTTAGATGTAGAGACTTGGCACTTTGAAGCGTCTTATAACTTGTGTATATGGTCGGCAGATCAGCTGAACGCACCCATATGTCTATTCTCCTTTTGAAGATGAGTAACGTCAAGGAAAGCAGTCATAGTTTTTCTTTTGTTGGTCGTATAATAAAATATAAGCACTCCTAGATTATAGGATGAGTTAATTGTCCGCAGTAAAGCTTTGGGGACGTCCCTGTGTGGACAAGCCTCCTAACGCACTGAATCTATCAACAGTGGCCAAGTTAACAAGTAACCCATACAAAACGTCAACGCCATTTCATTATTGGAAATTGTTGGCACGTCGATGCCGTTGCCTATAAGCATATGCTTAGTTTGCTTGTCGTCCTTGACAGTAACAAATTAAGACGCTAGCCCCAATGAGCGCACGTCTCATGTGGACGAGAGTGAGCCCCTGGCAACAGAAGACAGTAACATAAATAAAAACGGACTTCCTAGTTTCTGAACGTCTGTTTGGGTGCTAGCGTCCGGACGCTGTTGCGCACGTAAGAGAACCCACGCCTGCATGTTTTCGAATGCCCACCACGTGGACCCCACGTTGCTTCTCGTCCTACAATCATGCCCGCTCTGTTTCGCTCAATGATTGTCGCGCCCACACGCAGGAAACCCACTGGGTCCCAGTCACCTGCCCCGCCTGCAGAGGCGTCTGTCGGCCTAGGCTCCCGCACGGTGACTGTTGACGGTAGTTAACATTAATCATAAACCGTCAATATAACTTATA